AGCAATTCATTAAGCTTCTTATGTCCATAGGGTGTGGGTGGTTTGGTTGTTGACTAAATACAGAAAAGCTGAAATAACCTAAATGGGTCTAGTAACCTGTGGCTTCTCTATAGGATGGAGGTAAAGACACAACAAACTCCATGAAGTTCCATCCACAAGCTGAGGCTTCCAGTGGAGCAAAAAGGATTTGAACTATGTTTACAAAATATCAGGTTGTCTTTCATTCACGGAAAGCCTGGGACTACTGCATGGAGTAAAGTCAAATTGCAGCATTTGAGCCATACGTAGCTTCCAAATTCTTCTCCCATTCCAAGATTACTTTACTCATTCAAGTCTGTGCTGATATGGAGGCTTCAGGAAGTAAAACAAGGGCTTACAGACCTTATGCATACTACAGATGACTTCGCTGCATCATCTTGGGACACAACTGCACATCCACTACAGGTATCCTCTCTGAACTGCAAACCACTCCATCCAAGCTAGGTGGTTTGTGTCTCGTAGCTGTTGACTCAATGATAATGAACAATACAGCCTATAGGGTTAGAATGTTTGTATTGAGGCTGCCTTTCCTTTGATCTTAATAGGAACCTGTTTTTTTTTCCCCTTGTGGAATCTGATACTGCCATTACAAAGACCTTTGTTTATCCCAAAACACTTAATGGGAGAAAAAAGGTAAAATATAAAGTAAAAGGGAAATGCAAGTCTCATAAAATGTACGAGTTAGCGTTCAACAAGGCGTAGGAAAAGCTTCTAGGAAGGTAAGTGGGCCCCTTTATGGCACACACTGAGAATTCAGTGATTGTCATCCACTTGTAAATCATGGGTGCACAACTGATCTTGCTATGGGACTGAATTGTTCACAAGATTGGTAGTCGGGGTTTTTGGCTTCTTTCACTGTTAGTTCAGTAGTTCAACTCTATCAATTATATCAAAAGTATCTAATGAGCAATAACTTTAGGGACATAGCAGAAATGAACAAAATCTTGCATCTATTTTGATCCTTTTTTTCCCCCAAAACTCATGGTAGAAATCACAATGGTTATTTACAACAGTGCTCAACCATTGACCATGTATACCAAAAAGAAGAAGAAAGAGGAAAAAAAAAAAAAAAGAGACATCTTCATTGCACTGACACTTCAGCATCTCTCCGCTTAAAGGATTTCCTCACACAAAACTAGGTAGAGGTAGGACAATATAGACAATTTAAGGCAACTAGTGTCTAAGTTATTGCGTGCAGTAATATAATGCCATATGAAAGTGTTACAGTTTCTTAACAGTTCAACAGGCACTGCTGAAGCAAAGAAGGCAATTGTGCAAGTTAGCACTCTTGTATGAAGGAATACAAAATGCGTACCGCTCGCTACAGTTCAGATACACAATTTCATATTATTACTAATACCATCTTTCCATCCTATTCTGACTTTAAAACTATTCCTGTCTTTAATTCCAAGAAGATTTAATTTAAGATGACATTAGTATTTTCAAAGGAAGAACTATATTTTTTTTAAAATATTAAATTTTATTTGAAAACACTGTACATTTTACTTTTAATTGTTTTACGGTTCAAATTGTAAGGTGTGTTCTTTTTTGTTCAAGAATTTTAAAAGCAACTAATTTAAATATGCAAAATTATCTTGAGTTGTTCATACGTGAACTTAAAAGCCATGCAACACAGGAAAATTAAGTAATTATGCCTCCAAGTTATTTACTGCAATTAAGCTCATTTATCATATGCAAATTAGTGCAAACTGGTCTCATTAGTTACTAAATTACTCAATATGAGCTGAACAATGTAGCACTCCAGTTTGTAATGAAAAATCCCTGTAGAGGCAAGCAGTATCAATTAAGCTAATTTGCATATGCAAATATATTCACTAACTTTCCCTTTTCTCTATATTTAGTTCTACACTTCCTGATCATTCCTGATTATATGAAGAATATGATTTTACTGACCCTTTTCCACACCTTCTGAACAGCAATGAAGTTACAGAAAAAATCCAGGGGCTCTGAAAAAATTAGTAATCTTGTTGCTAATTTTTAAAACTACTTTCAGCCAAATTTTTGAACAACAGGTACCAGAAGTAATATTTTTTTTTACAGGATTTATTTAATAAACAAATACAAAATATATACACAGAAATGTAAAACTGAAGATGTCCTTACTGAAGTCTATTCTCATTATATCGCCACTTTTCAGAAGAACGTAGCAGAAAGCACACAATTTGGCAAATCAAAAATCTTGTCAAAAATTAACTAACATATTGCCATTATCTATGTTTCTCCTCTATTACAAGCATTTCTACTGTTCATCATTCAGGTGATTTTACTTGGAAAACATTTACGAAGACTTTTTGCTCTGACATGAAGATTCTGATATAACATTTGGGCATTCGTGTTTTGTGGTGTCTTTTTTTCCACAAGCACACAGTGGATAGCATCTTTGGCTTCAAACCTACTGTGGAAATCTCTTCAGCATGATATACATCAATCGGCTGTGGCTTGGAAATATTTCGACATGACTAACCGACACTACTTGCTTGTAGAATCAAGATGTAAAATATCACAAGATGTGCCTCCATTTCTCTTTTTACAACATCACTATAAATAATCTATATCCACTTTTTAAAAACATACGGTGGTATGCTTCTCATGTGTCTGTCAATAAATCTTGAAGTATCAAAATATTAGAAGGATTAGAGAGGCTCCTTAATTTCTGAGCTTACACTTTACCCAGTCTTCCAAACATTAATAGCAAAAGGGATTAAACAAACTGACTACTAATTCAGCTTCCTCAGATGGCAGACTCTGAAATTAAACACAGGTATTCCCAAGGTATAATCAAGGTTGTTTACTTCACTTGCAAACAATACTTATCACAACACTGCTTTGAAAATCATTTCTAGGAGCATCAGGCTAAATGAGAGCTTGTTAGAACTGTATTCCACCACAGAATCTGTCTGATTGTCGTTTTAAAAATCATTTTGTCTTCTGGAGATTATCTTTCCATCTATAAGACCACAAGGCAGTACTTTGAAATTCATTCAGATCTGTTTAAAGTGCAGTTGAAACCATGACCTACACTTTCCTTCCAAGTGTTGATTACTCTGCTAAAATAAGACAAGATTTTAACATATCATGATAAACTTGCCACCATTACTAATTCATTTTGTCCTTTATCCATCATCACCAGTCTATTCTCTTTTAAATGTCAGAGTGAAACCTTCTATTATCAATTGAGAGATTAATGGGAATAATTTGGTAAAAGCACCACCCTCCCTGAAAAGGCCACACCTCAACACATATTCGATACAATGCTGATGGTAATTTTGACTGAAAATTCTCAGTTACAAGTACAAGTGCAATACAGGTTTTTTTACTAGTACTACAATAAAATTATATCCTGAAAACACCTTAATTTATCACATATAAGTATAAAAACAAAAAACAAGTGTGAATCTAGCTTAAATAACTAATAAAATCACTAACTGTTTTAATAGGCAATAAGTGAAAAACTCAAATGTCAAGTAGTTTTTAAAGTGGCCATCCTAGGATTTTTCGTTTTCATTCATGAAGGGTTGTGCATAATACCCAAGAAGTATATATAAATCAGTCTCAATGAGGTTATATCTAGATAGCTGCTATTATTCATACTGTAAAAAACATGCCTTTAGGATATATAGTACATGTTTACATACTCAAAACAACACACAAATTACATAAATTGAAACACCACAAAACTGCTATATCTTCATTCTTTCTACACTTATGAGACAGCATAACAGTGTTTCTAACATGCAAACATCATACTATAGAAACTGGTGCAGACATCTTTGATACAGTAACTATAATACCAGCATTTACTTACAGAATCAAGAACTCGACCTAGACCTGTGTCAAGAGTGTACAGCTAGGTAAATCACTTCATTTTTTGTTTTTTTTTTTTTTTTGTTCCAAAGAGAAATTCATTCTACTAGTTAATTTCATGTTTTCCTAAAATTATCTTTGTTGCTATTCTGCATTTACTTTATAAAGATGTAAAATCTGACATTATCCATAGTGTTTTTGAATGCCACAGCTGAGTTAGTACAGAGATAGCTCTCAATCATTTCAAATTAAGTGGAATATTTCTCATTATAATATCCTAATTTACCTCTTTCATACCTCTCAAAGCATAATACACTAAGCAATATACTTGCATTGAGAAGTTGTGCACATTGCTAAATAAGAGTTACCAGTGCTGCACTTAGTAAGGCCTACGTGGTTTTTATTTCTGTAGTGCTGGGTTTTTGCCTTGCTGACAAAACACATCCCATTTTGTTCTTAACTGCTTCTGCTCTGTGTTTGATTACTGCAACTAATTTACTAAGAAAGGTTGTAGTAACCCTGACAAAACAAAGCATGCGTAAGAATGTTTCCATCAGGTCATTGTTTTTCAGTTTAATCTTGCTGGCATATAATGACTTGTACAGTGTGACTAAATCCTTTGACAAATATCAGATTAGTTTTTATCCCATAGCTAAGGAGACCTAAAAGGCATGCTGCTGTTCATTTTTTTTTTCTCTTTGCAGATCATTGCAAATTTGTGATATATGATTGTGACAACTGGGACATCAGAGAGGAAAGCAGTGCTCATAATCCAAAGCGGGGGAAACGCCTGACAACCCTGCCCCGAAATCTATAAATGACACACAAACCAAATCAAATGACCAACACAAAATAGTTTTGTGCACACAGACATACAAATACATAAAGGCATTCTGCGAGCAAACACCTACTGCACAGTTCTGAACAACAAAATATTATGATTCAGCTAAATAATACTTGCCCTCCCTCTCATTAACATTCTCTCAATCACAGACTTTCTAAAAAGAAGGAAATATGAGCTTTAAAAAAAAATGAATCTCATTAATAGAAGTGCTGATAACAATAATACTCAAACTATTGGCAGAAATATGACTAGCTAGTTATTTCGATTTTTCTTGGAAAAGCCAATTTTTTACCTGTAAAATATGACTTCCCAAATGTGATTCAAATACTTCAATGGCAAGGGCACTGGGACTTCTCCTGCGCTGGGCACCTATAACTGAATAAAAAACAGTTATGTTGCAAGGTCTGCACATTCATTTCTAATGCACCCCTATCATACCGTTTGACATAATTTTCAGTAGTTTTCAGTGACCCAAATTTGAAAGGTAAAAGAATTTTTTTTTTTTTCCAAAAGTTCTATTCAAATGTCCAAGAGCTTGGTAAATGAATAGTTTATTCAATTATAGTCCAGGTCCCTGTAGAGGTTGTTTTTTTTTTTTTTTTTTTGCATATGGTGATGATGGCATGCAGAATTTAGCGAAAAATACTATTGAGAAAGAGGCTACACATAGTGTAAATGTTTTGAAATGTGGGGATAAGAACTAAATATTACTCAGGAATTAGGAAGATATGAGAGATTTTTGTGAACATGTTATTTCTTACTTGAAAATGAAAAGCAGTAAACACAACATTAAAAAGTCAACATTTGTAAACATACCTGAGATATCAAAGTTATTGCTAAACATAGGGAAGTATTGTAATATCCTAGATATCCATGTTAGTTACTGGAACAGATACTTGAAACTTCAGCTTCTACATTTAAATTATGTAGTTTAAAAGTACCAAATGAGTAATAGGCAGTTATGTATCAAAGGCAGCAGTGACTACAAAAAAGGCTGAGAAATAAAACTAATACTACATTAAACTCTCTATGCCAGGAGCATAAAGCCAGCAATTGAGTCCAAGTACAACCAACAGAGGCTTCTACTGCAAGCTGAGGTTTCTTCTTAGGTCTAGGCTGTCTTTGACCAGAGAAAGCTAGAGCACAGAGAAGAAGGTGCATGGCTGTAGGAACCTTCCCTTCCTTTCCTGTCTTAGTGCCAAAGCCAGGCATATCCATAGCAAAGAGAAGAGGTGAAGTTCATTCTGCACCCTTTTAAAGTGCATACAAAAACATTTACATTCAAAGACCCTGATGCTCTAATGTCTCTGCAACCATCACAGCACAAGTGCATCTTTATGTATTGCTCTCTTCACAATGCACAATAAGAAAAACGAAATACCAAGGATTCACTAAAACAAGCAGAATAGATGACTGCCATTACTGAACAGGCTAATGTAGCACCAATGAAAACAAAATACGGAGTAGCAATTTCTTAGTCTTCTATGATACTGGCTGCCAAACATGACATCAGTAAGAAAAGATAAATGCCAGGTAACGATAGTCATATTGACCTAAAAATGTATCATCATTCCTTATTGATGTTTCATGTAATTTCCTTGCAGGAAGTTCTAAGCTATTTATACTGGGCAAACAGGTGGCTTCATAGCTAAGAGATTCAGACAACAGCTCATAATTACAAATGGTGACTGCTGTAGAGCCAGTATTTTCTAAGTCCTCCTCTTTTCTCTGAAGGTATTCAAGGACATAGATGCTAACAACTTAACAGAAAAGTCTTCTTCAAGACTTCTGCTTTACACTGCAACTAAAGTTGGTAATAGTCCAACTGCTGTACTTGTTTTTCTAACTTCAGTCAGTATAGTGACTGACCAGATATGTCAGCATAATATTACTCTTTTACAAGCTTTAAGTACTTAGTCAGTCTTGTATTTTTCTATATTAGCCTTCTGATTCTAAATCATTTTGCTTCTCTTTGCATAGTCTCATCTTTTCTATAGCTATAGTGATGCCTACTATAAACAGCAATGCTTATTTCATGAAAAAAAAAAAAAGGCATATTAAATTTTCTGGCAGTTTAGACTCCTTTAACTTTCCTTTTGGCAGACAGACAGACTTAAAGATGATCCTTCTTTTGTCCTTACTCTGCCTCCAGATACATTATCAAACATTTGCTTAAACTGGAGTTGTACCAATACTTCTGAGAGAATCTTTAGCTCTAGTTGTAGGACTAAACAAAATACACAGTGCTGTAAAGATTATCAATATTCCCATTACGAACGCTATCAGTTAGCACTGCGCTTTGTATGGTCACTTCATTTACAATCGTAGTAGTCTTCATAAGAGCACTGCCAAAAGCAAAAATGCTGAAGAATGACAAAACCTCCCTGAAATCCTTTAGGTCCTTTAATTCTTCCATGTAGACTGTGTTATATTTTCCACACATTGTCTGAACACATGACTATTCTGAATTTGCCTTCCAATTAGTTTTCAGTTTCCTGCCCATATCCTTCCTTTACTATCCCCTAGCATTTTAAAGTGTATCCATTACATATTGAATCTAGTTCTACAATGTTAATTGTAGGGCTTTTTAGCATGTGAGTATCAGAACTTGAATAAAGTGCAAAAAGACAGTGCAACACTTTTAAAACAGTTTCATTAAACTATATTTACAGGTAAGTCATCAGTTCTTCATACCTGGGACACTCTCAAATGAAAACATTTCAAGGTCAGTGAGTTAACTAGAAACCATGAGACGGCCAGATCTCAGCTTTAAAATTTGTCAGTGAAATCCTCTATCAATGCCTGTATCCTAGAGGCTGGTATGCACGTTGACAAATATCTTGTAGTACTTTCACGCCATTCAGTTCATTGACATTTTCATAGTAGTAGACCTCTTGGATTTGTGTGTCTTGCACTTACCCAGGTGACGTGGAGTCAAAACAATAGTTCTCAATTTTACAATCAGCACAAATATGTTACACAGAAAACCATTATGCTTCCAGTAGCCATACTGTAACTCTTTGGTAACAGAATAGATGTCAAATACGCACTTTCTGTATTTCATTCATTTTCCTAACCATCACTCTTCACATTTTGAGGAATGAGACAAGAATATTGAGACAAATATAGAATAAGGGAAACAAACTTATTTTATTTGATCTTCTGACTTCATTGCCTCATTATTTTACTTACTCGAGCTTTCAAGATTTCTTGATACCTAACTGCATCAGAAGAAATATAGTATTCTGGGTATGCAAACGCATTTCACATTGAGACCTTTGAAAAACATGGCAAACTCACAGTCCAATCACAGCACAAAGCCTCTTATTTGTACTGCATGGATTGTTGGCATGACAATAGATGAATAGACGACATAGACTGAAATGGTTGGATTAAAAAGCAAGCCATGATGTTATTGTATTCTAAAACTTCAAAACATAAACTATAAATACTGAACTGGCTTCCATCACACACGCCACAGCCAGTCATCTCTAAATCTCTCACCCTGTCGATGGAACCACCAGCAGCCGCAGCTCAGCTGCTCACAGAAGTCTTGGAAAGCAAGGGATTTAGGATTTACATCACATCACAACATCTATAAATCAAAGTAGCTCAACAATCTCCACAGACTTAAAGATGTGGATGCACATCTTTTTTAAAAATGTGGATTCCATTTTAAATGCAGACTCTTCACAGAAACAAAATACTGCATGTATGAAATAAATTTCTTCTTTAGAGTAACAGGAAGTAGGGGAAATTAGGGTGTGGAGAAGGCTGAAGCATGTGTACCAAACTGCAACAGGAGTCACAAAGGAAAGAAGTTCCAAACACAGGTTAAATTCTTCTTCCAAGATTCTCCTGGTTTAGCGGTATGAACAAACATCTCTAAATAGGCTTTTTCACATGTGGTCATATTTTGTACTGTCTACATTTAATTGACAAAGCTGAAGTTTTGAATGCACAATCACTGTGGTTAATCAAAAAGTTGACTGAACCAATATTTGTATTAAATATTGACTACTAATAGTAACAAGACGACAGAAAGATTGTTTTCACATGTACACTTTGTAGTGCTGGAGCAGAGGAACCTGTCTACTAAAATCTTTTACTTTCCATGGCACTGGACCATGACTTTTACTATCTAGACTGACGTGTCTATTCTTGGCATAGGATTATGCCATAACAAGCTACTAACAAGGAAAAAATTCTAACTGCTCACCAAATTCCATTGTAAATTTCCTCCCTCAGTGACTGATCTGGCTAAGCATGAGGTGAAGGAAGTCTAAGCATGCTTAATGCAATCTCAAGAGCATTCACAATTGTGCTAGGGAGAGTGGGAAACTATGGAAAAGAAAAACGTAGACTGCCTAACAAAGATTTCCATGCATGCTAAAGAAAGAGCACTTCCTCTTAAACACACTTCTAAGCTACTGGAACACAGAATGATCAAGGACTGATGTTCACTGCAACTTTCTACTAGTAAAGACAGAGTTCTAATTAAGCAGAACCAGTATTCCTTGATGACTAGGCGTGAACGCACATAGCACCAGCACAATCATCAGTTCCCCCTCAAATACTTTTGTGAGACTTTGTATACCACCTTTCAACATAAATTGGTTTTGTGGAAAGTCTGGTAAAACACATACCACGAGTTTTAAAATTCTGTTGCTTTGATAATAGCTTTAAAACTAGTTTTAAAAACTATACTAATGTTTTTAATTTCCCTGAACTATTATTTACTTATAAAGGCCTTTTCTCAATTTGCCTCAAAATCCTTAGTTTTGTATTTCATTTTGTTGATTTTTCTGAGCTGCACTTTCCTTTATGCTTGGAAGTAGAAGGGGACATAGGGCCATCCTGCTACACCATTTTATGATTCTATGTCATCTTAAAAATCTTGGGGCTTTCCTATAAGACATGAGAAGTAATTTGGAAAGGCTTAAAGGCTGTGTTTTAGAAAAGCAGAGACACTGACTGAGGGTCTAAACTGAACAACAGAAGATGCAGTGTCAGGAAAGGACAAAGGGTAACCAACATTAGGGTCAGCAAGAAAGGGCAGTTATTTATGTATGCTAACATCCACAGAAGCTTTTTTAAAAAAAAATTAATTCTTTTACTTCATATTTAATATCTTGTGATGGCTATGTTTTTTTTTCCATTGATTGTTCTTTGCTATCCCATTTATGACTGATTCTAAGTCTTGAAAGAAATCTCCAGCAAGAGTGAACTCCTCTGCCTGACCCGTACACTGAGGACATAAGGCATAGATAATATGTATTCAGATCCTAATCTAAAGTGAGATGAATGATAGGCAACCAGCAGAGAGGTTGCCCTCTGATTTGGAAAGGGTATCCAAAGAAATTATATGATGTCAC